GTGCTCCTGCCCCTCACACCTGCCTGGGGCCGTGCTCCCACCCCTCACACCTGCCCCTCACACCTGGGTGAGCCTGTGCTCCTGCCCCTCACACCTGCCCCTCACACCTGCGTGGGGCAGTGCCCCTGCCCCTCACACCTGGGTGAGCCTGTGCTCCTGCCCCTCACACCTGCCTGGGGCCGTGCTCCTGCCCCTCACACCTGCCTGGGGCCGTGCTCCTGCCCCTTTCTGTTACATCTGCTTGAGTGGCAGTGACTGGAGAAGCCTCCTTCCCTAACTAGAGTGGGTCCATTTGCCCAGACTCTGAATCTAAATTCATCCCCTGTGGCCACTCCAAGCCATTTTTGAAAAAAATTAGCTCTGGACATTTAGTTACACTGCTAGTGAAATAAAATTTTTTTTAAAAAACTTGATGATCTCGCCTTCCTTTGGCTTAGCATAACTTTCCTTTATTCCTTAAAATCACTTTATGCTTGTCAAATTTCTTATCTGAATTGGCCAAGAACCACACTTGAACTTGTCTTTTGTGTATTTCCCTATTTTTTAATAAATGAACAGCAGTAGTTAACTCTTTTCTTCTTTGTATGTTTGTGCTAACCTGGGAACTTAAGTGAAGGGTGAGTACTGTATGGAGTGACTTTTTTGCATTTGGTAATTACTAAAAATGCAAAAAAACACTCAGTAAGATTCCACCTCTGGTGTTCAGAACATTTAAAACTGTTCTCTCCCCATTTACACATCTTTGGGGTTTTTTTCATTGTGTTTATTTTTGTCTCACAAGGTGGCTGCAGAAATAGTTTCCCTTTCCTTTGGCCTTCTTGGGGAAAGGACTGATACGCTCTCTGAGCTGTCTGTGATATATTCCTCTCGGGTTTTACAAGTCAAAAGATTTTCCATTTGTTTAGTAAATAAAAGATTTCCCCCAGGGCCTAAAGACAATTTTACAAAGAAAATTATTGCTTGCTTTGTTTTCCAGTAGCAGTATAAAACTGTTCTAACCTCTAAGTCTGTATATAAAATGAAGTATTTGCAAATGTCTGCTGTGAAGAATACACACACTTTTTATATTTATTGCCTTGTGTCCACGGACACCACTTTTGAAGTCGTACGTAATACTTTGTGGTGTCCTTTGTATATTGTCTGTTTTTATGATTCCACAGGACAAAAGACAGAAATGTATTCATTTTACATGTGGGTTAACTAAGTGTCAAGAGCCCAGGAAACCCAAGATAAGTCTTTTGTAATTAAAATTATTTGGAAGATGTAGATAGCTTTTTTACATCTGCTTTTGAGGGGTTTGGGTATCTTTTTTTTTTTTTTAACAATCATTTAAACTCAAAACCATGTAGGGATTATTGTTGTAAATCAAATAAGAAATAACCGATTTCCTCTTTTAACAGCTTCCTATTAAGATCTCAGAAGGGAACGTTGGCACTTGCTGTGTTCATAGTAAAAAGCCATGACTTTGTTGTATTTTACAGAATTTAGGGCAGATTACTAAATTTTCTTCTAAAACTATCTTAGTGCCTTGTTTTTGCCAACACAGTTCACTGTGAACTAAACTTCTCTAGATGAAATTATTAAGTATTGGTCTTTATGAGCGTCATTGTCTATATATAAGATTGCAGCACTTTTTCCCGTAAAGGACAATGACTAGCAGTGGGGTGGAAGGTCCAGACAGGAGCACCGAAGGAGAAGCAGTGTGTGTCACATCAGGGGGACCAAGTGTGGCCCGTCTCATCTGCGCCTTCCATGGGGCGGCTGGAATGTGGCTGAGCGCAGCTCTGGGCAGCAGCACACCCAGACCGGCCTTAAACACCCCCCACTAGAGTGTGGTACTTGGGCGAGTGATTAACCTCTCTGTGCCTGGGAGCCTTCAGATTCTAATCAGTGGCCATGAGGCTTTTAAAAGCCATGACCTCTTTTTCTCACCGTTTTTATTAAATCATAGCAAAAGTCGAATCTGCTTCATGGGAATAGAGGTCACACATCCCGACGGTTCAGTTTTGCATAAAATATTTTTTTAAGATTTCTGATTAGTTTATTGATTATAATGAACAGGTTAACATATTGTCAGTTAAAAATTAAATTAATGCCGAATCTGTCAGGTCCTGTGAAAAGTGCTAGGGACATGAAACAGTGGGATGAGTTCCTTCCCTTCAAAGAACTTAACAAGACAGGTAACTAACAGATTGTTAAGATGCAGTGTAGTGAGTGGCTGTGTCCCTACAGAGACAGCAGAGGGCTCATTTGTTTACTTAAATCGTGGGATAACAAATGTCAGTAACAGCCTTCACCTGGGATCATGGCAAACTGAGTCTTTTGCCAATTATGATTTTTCACACTTAGCTTTGGGTATGATAGGCTTTAATAGCAGCTAGAACAGTTCTGTCCTTTTTACTCATATTCTTTTCCTGGGGTAGAAGGTACGTTACAAATCTTTACCTATTAGTTTGGAAATGCATTTCAGAAACTCTTGCTTATTCTCAATTCTTTTTCTGTGTCAGTTTTTCTCATTGTGTCGGTACCACTAAGAACTGGTTCACGTGAACTGCTCGAAAGAGAAATAAATTAAATTAAATGAATTTTTTCCTAGAAAGTGACCGTGTCAGATGGCGTCCACATTTTCTTTGCAGAGCTTTGGTTCTGAAAATTTTATTTTATTTTTAAAATAAATTTTTGTTTTTATTTATTTTATTGGTTCTGAAATGTTTTTATCCGGTAAAATATATAAAGAAATTTTATTTATATTTAATGCCTTTTCTTTTATATATATATGTAAAGGGGAAATTGTGGGAGTGGAAAAATCAGCCAAGGACTCACTAGGGAATTTTCAACCTTATGCTGTAGTAGATTTTTGAATTTTTAAGTCACTTACTGTAGATCTATAGAATACCATGAATCCATTTATTTCAGTAAACCCTTGACCTGAAGAATATAGATAAGGATATATCCTTTTCCTCACAGGATATGTTCCTCTTAAGATAACATTTAGCCAAACCACACATAACCAGTTTCTTACGCTTCTGAGTCTGTCTCCCATACGCAGCAGAAATCTCTGTGTGCTGGTTCTTTATGTTATTTATATAAAGTAAATAAAAACAATGATAATTTTAAATAGGAAATGGCAGGCATGTATTTTGCAAATGATGTTAAATTTTAAAAATATTAATCTAGCATATAATATGCTAAGCATTCTATGTCTCATAAGTCAAGAATTCACAATTCTGTATAAAACTCCACTTACCAAACTTCTGCTGACTCTGTCATGCTCCCGCCAGGTGTGGTGGCCTCTCTGCAGAAGGGGAGGACCCCTCTCTGCTGCTCCATGAGACCCTGGGTCGTGGGTGCTTTCTGACATGGGATTTTGTCTTCATTTTGGTTTGCTGTTCATTTCCCACCAACTCAGGTTAATAAAAAGTGAACTGTTCAGGTAGTTGTCTAGGAAGCTCTTTTCCAGAAATTATGTAAAATAGTTTGTCCATTGCTTTAAAAGCCTGTTACTTAAAAACAAGCCAATGCTTGATGAGAGGATTTCAAACAGACGTGTCATCTACATTCAGTTTTAATTTTTTCATGTTGTCTTTTAGATCTGGTGCTCCCTCTCCATTAAGTAAGGTAAGCTCCGTTTTTGGTTTCTACCATTTTTCCACCCTGTACAGTTCAGTGACATTTGTATGTTCACACTGGTGTACAACCTTCACCACTGTTCATTTCCAGAACTTTTAATTTCCCGGAATGGAAACTCTGTACTCCCTGCTCCTCCTTCCTCAGCCTCTGGCATCCACCTGTCGACTTTCTGTCCCCGAGGATCGGATCATTCTGGGGATCTCACACAAGTAGACTCGTGCAGAATCTGTCCCTTTTTGACTGTCTTTTTTCACACACCTTCGAGGTTCAGCCCTAGCATAGCACGTGCCAGAATTTCCTTGTTAAGCCTGGGTGATGCTCCGTCCTGTGGATGGTTCAGTTCACCACCACCCCCCACCCCCCGGCAGTGGACACTCAGCGTTGCTTCTGCGTCTGGGTATCCTGAACAACGCTGCTGTGAATGTGGGTGTCTAAGCATCTGTTTGAGTTCCCAACTTCAGGATACACCCCAAAATAGAACTGGTGGATCATGTGGTAATTCTAGCTCAAATTTTTTATGGAAAGATTAATGATTTTATACATTTCCCTTTACATCAGTTTCTCAGTCTGCTGTGGTCCAGTGACTAAATATTTTTAAAGGGAGATTTTTTTCCATGTATCTATATTACCTGTACAACTAAAGGCAAATATAGATTAGTTACAAAACATTGTCAGATATTCCGAATCAGCCCTGTGAGGCAGGTCAGGTATGTGACATTGTGTGGTTTCAGTGACAGAGAAATCATTTGTAATTAGGTGTCTTTCCACGTGTGTCCCTGATCATCTCAGCAACTCCTCACCTCCCATCTCTCTTCAGCATGCTGAATGTCACGGGCTCTGGGTTATTAGTGGCAGGAATATTTACTTCTGTATGTCTGCAGTTCACATTTGCCATTGCACTTTTCAGAGAAAAGTTTTATATACAAATATGCACTTTCCTTTCCATTATGTAATGGCTGTCATTACAGACATTCAGGGGTGTCCCTGCCACACTGGTGATTCCCAGACACTCAGTAGCACATGAGGGCCTGGGCGGCTGCTGGAGTTTCCCTCAAAGACCCCCAAACAATCAGCCAAATGAAACAAACAGGCCAAAAGCTCCCTGGCCCTGTGACACAAAGCCAGGTTTAAAGCCATTGTATCTGTGTGAAAGTCCCAGGATATCACTGCTGAGTAGAGGGTGACAAAACGGTGGCATCCTTTGTAAAGTTGGCTAAAGGCTAATTTTGCTAAATTCAGTTTTATCAACTTTTTCTTTTTGTAGGAACAAGATTGCCTGGGTTCTGTCTTCTTGGTTCACATTGCCTCATAGCTGGTCACAGGGCATTTTCTATGGGAGTTTTTTACGTCTTAATTTTTGCATTTATGTTGGTAGTATTTATTGCTGCCATTAAATTCTCCATGTTTCGTAAACATCTCTTCTTCTAAGATTACTTATATGTATAGGTTTTTAAAAAGTTTCTTTTTTATTATTGCTGGGGTTTTTTTTGAGACAGAGTCTCAGTTTGTTGCCCTCAGTAGAGTGCCGTGATGTCATAGCTCACAGCAACATTGCTGTGAGGATTTTTTTTAAGATGGGGGTCTCCAAAACGCCTGGCTATTTATAGAGACAGGGTCTCGCTCTTGCTCAGGCTGGTCTTGAACCCACGAGCTCAGGCGATCGGCCTGCCTTGGCCTCCCAGGGTGCTGGGATTACAGACGTGAGCCACTGCACCCAGCAAGTCTCTTGTTTTTAAAAAACTTGTCATCGTTCACAATGGATGACACATAATTAACTTTAGGCCTTTTCATTTCATTGATGATCTTTGTCCTCCATTTGAAGATTTGACCTTTTGTTGCAGAGAGAGGTTTGAGCTGATGTTTTCTGAGCAAGTGTCCACAGGCCTCACACGTGTGTCTGTCCTGAAGTGCGGGCCGCCTGGCACTTGGACATCTGTTGAATTTTGGCCTATTAATTAGTTGTATTCTTGGACAAATAAGTATTTTTTAAGTCTGGAAATGCCTATACATTTCTTATTTCCTCAAGTCCTTTTTCTTAAATCATTCTTTTTGAAACTTCCTTTTGAGTGTGGTGTGTTTGGAGTCAGACGTGGCAGTGTCTGGCAGCCCTTGCTTGGTCTCAGTCTTTGTATATTTTTCTTGATGTTGTGTCTCATTTCCGCTGACACAACTAAGTCCCAGTTGACTTAGTTGGGGCTTTGACATGCCCCATTGATCCTGTGAATATATAGAGAGTTAACATATCAGACAGAACAAATTAGGAGAGTTTAAACAGATTTTTATTTTTTACATATTAGTTAACTACTAACTCCTCTTTAAAAAAAAAAACAGTCTACAGAAATAAATGTTAGGTTGTATTCCACTTTTTCTGCTTTATCTATGTCATATGAGTGGTAGATTATAGCCACCATATCCTCAAGTTGTCAGGGACCTGTAAGTCACCCTCTGCCAAGTAGCAACTATTTTGTAAGTTAAATTTCTTTCTGGATTTTAAAGTCATCTTGAGAAGACTCCACACGAAGTCTGTTTAGGATGAGAAGGAAGAAGAATGACCTTGGTAGTATAGCGTTTATAATTTTTAATTTTTGGCAGCTAGTAAGATCTTTCCCAATTATTTTATTTTATTTTATTTATTTATTTATTTATTTTTGGTCAGGGCTGGGTTTGAAGCCGCCACCTCTGGCATATGAGGCCAGCACCCTATGCCTTTGAGCCACAGGCGCCACCCTCCCAGTATTTTTATATTCAAAAAATACATTTAGCCTTGTAAATGCAAGTCATTGCAATGTTAGACCAGACATTTTATCATAATTTCATGTAAATTACATTTAATTTTTAAAAGTTTAAGTCATGTTTTGTTTGATATTATTTATTACAATTCTTGATTTCAAATTTTCTTGAGTTTTCTCCTCCCATGAAGAATTATTAAAAAAAAAAAAGAGCTGCTGGGCACATCAGGGGTCTGCAGAGCAGAAGTCCGGGCCGTGTCCTGCAGACTCACACTTGACCAGAGTGTGCTGTGCATCTTCACTTTCAGTCTTCTCCAGCGACAACTGTCACGTCGCCTAACTCTACACCAGCTAAAACTATCGACACGTCCCCACCGGTCGATCTCTTTGCAACTGCTTCTGCGGCCACCCCAGTCAGGTCAGTTAACGAGTATGCAGAGAACTGTTTGCTAATGTTTTGATTAGGTTTTCATTTCATTTTGCCGTGCTGTTCCCCACTGATTTCACCAGATGAAATCTAATCCTAGTAACGTGCGATAGTTTGGTCATTTTTGCTGCACAGAGTTATTTTCTCCTACACCTGCGCAGTTCCTCGGGCCTGTATCTCTTAAGTAGGAAGCCCCAAGCCGTGGAAATCACCGTGTTGCTCCCACATGTGGGAGAGGAAGTGGAAGAAAGATGCACACGCTCCAGGCTCTTCTGAAATTGGCTGGTGTGGAAAATGGTTTCTAAAATTAATTTCTTCTTGCGGGAAATTAAAAAGATGTCTTCAAGTGCTTTAAAAAAAGGAAACAGCAGACTTGATGTTGTAGCTGGCCAGTTAGCTGGTGCATGTAATGAAGGGGTCCCTGGTCAGCACCTGCAGGTGGGGACAGCAGTGAGGAAGGTGAGGATGGCCGTGCGTCTGCGACATGGCAGGGCTCCCATCTCACAGGGCTCCAAAAATGACATTAGGTCAATTCTTTGGTTCTTTCGCCTTGAAAGGATTCTCGTGTCATGTTGAGGCATCTGATTATGAATGCCCTGTATTTGGAGACGTGGATTTTGGCCTGAGAATAAGTCCAAGGGTTCTGCCCCAGGTAACCATGTGCTTTGCCCTCGGCTCGCCTGGTCAGCAAGCTTGAGAAAACCAAGCCCTCTCTGCTGCTGCACTAAGAGGAACTGCCTCTCATAAAGGCCGTGACTAAGACCTTCATAGGAGGCATGTTTCCTTTCCTGTTGCTCAGTCCAGCTGTATTTATGAAATGCATATCAAAACTAGGCAATGCTTTCAGATGCTCTGAAACTTTAAAAAAAAAAAAGAATTCTTTTCTTAAAAGAATATTACTTAGAAACTTAATATGAAAAAAGATAAAGATGGAACTGGTGTTCAAGAAGGCAGCTGAGGCCAGGTGTGTTGGCTTACACTTTGGGAGGCCACAGTGGGAGGATACCTTAAAGCCAGGAGTTTGAGACCAGCCTGGGCAACATAGCAAGACCCCATCTCTATAAAAATTCGTCAAGTGTGGAAGCTCAAATCTAGAATCCCAGCTGTACCAGAGGCTGAATGAAAAAGAAAACAGATCAGGGTCCCGGGACCCTGTTGGCTTGGTAACCTGTTGAGGCCAGTGCGCCTTGACTCTGAATCTTCATCTGAATCATCCAGGGATCTTGTTAAAATGAAGATTCTGAGGCAGTAAATATAGGGTAAGCCTGAGACTTCACATTTATAAACACATCCCTGGAGGCTGCTGGTTTGGGACCCGCACTTTGGAGAGCAAGGCTCCTCCTCGTAACTTCTGCAGGTTGAGAAGTACAACCCCAACTAAGAGTAAAAATGAAGTCACTTTAGGTGAATCTCCTCCAAGACAAACTTGATAAATCGTAGCCTAATTGAAGAAAAAGGTAAATTAGTGATCACTTATTTACTTTAGTACTATTTGGTTTAGAAATAAATTCTCAATGCATGAATTTTTGTTATACAAAAGATTTTAGGAACTCAAGAAAAGATAACTTTAAGGTCATGATTTTTATTGCCCCGTAGGATGCTTCTCTTGGATCAAACCCAGCCCCTGTCTGTTTTTGTAAAGAAAGTTTCTCTGGAACAAAGACGTGTGGATTTCTTTCTGTCTTGTCTCCGTCTGATTCTGTGCTCCAGCACAGACTGGAATAGTTCTGAAAATCGCCTGGCCCTTTCTGAAAGTAGTCGGCCCTGCTATACTCCCTAAAATAGTCTTTTACTGAATTCACAGTATTCAAAATCTTTTGCTGTTTTCTTCATGAGCCTTTAGTTTAAAACACCATTATATTGTAAAACTTCAAAATCTAATTTTAAAGTTCTGTTTTCCTTTCAGCACTTCTAAACCATCCACTGATCTCCTGGACCTCCAGCCGGACTTCTCTTCTGGGGGGGCAGCCGCCGCGGCACCTGCACCACCACCTTCTGGGGGGGCCACCGCGTGGGGAGGTGAGTGCCGTGGGCAGCTGCGTCATTTCCCAGTGCATTCTATCCAGTTGTTTTGGGGGGCTGTAATCTTTATATTTACCTTCTGATTATCCATAGTGGAGTCAGAAATGTGGAGGGAGAATGATAAGAATGGCGCCTAGCCACCAAAATACACACACGTGAGTTACTATGAAAGTTTCGAGACAGGGTTATGGTCCGTTAATTCACTTCCAGGCACAGCCGACAGTGTCCCTCCTGACTCCCCTGTGTACCTTTCAGCTCACTTGGCTCATCGGTGTTGCTGGGAGGGCTTCGTTGGTTTCCGTTCAGATGGATTTTCCATGTCTTGATTTTTGTGTGACTTAGAACTTTCCTAATGACCCTAATACTGAGATAGAGACAAAGGGTCCATGCAGTTAAAATGTTCAGATAGCCATATTTTATTTTTAAAGTTGGCACAAAGGCAGTGTTTTTCTTGGCTGTTCTAAAACTCTAATTATTTTAGTCATTATTCTCCAGAGACTCAGGCCTCAGAGGACTGAGTGTTCCCGTCAGTATCTGAGGCTCCTCGGAGGCAACCTTTCTGATGCGTTTTGTCAGGTATAGCCTCCTGCCTGGGTTCGTTTGGGCCTGAACTGGTTTATTCACATTGGTTTCATGCAAGAGGACTCTTACAGATTCTTGTTTGTGTCAGAAAAAGCCCACGCTAACGCCTTTGACTGAGAGAAATCACACGTAAACACTTGATTCCCACTGATCTCAGAACAAAACTCTTATAAATATTTGATTTAAAACATTTAATACTGATAGAAAAATTAAGGTAATTGCTGCATAATTCTCAAAGCTGCACAGAGTTGGGACTTTTTTATAATTTCAGAATATTACTGGGGTACACGTGTTTTGGTTACACAATGTGATGTCGTGCACTTTAAGTCAGATTTGTAAGTGTGCCCTTCACCCAGGAAGTGTGCACTGGACCAGGTAGGTGTGAACTTGCCCCCCACCTTGATTCCCCACTGGGCTTTGCTGCCCTGTGAGCACAGAGATGTTGATCCCCTAGTTTCACATTAGTGCTGAACACGTGTGGTGGTTTTCCATTCTTGTGATACTTCACTTAGGAGCATGGTGTCCAGTTCCGTCCAGGTTGTTACCAAAGATACCAGGTCTCCACTTTGTTGTGGCTCAGCAGTATTCCATGGTGAGCGTATACCACGTTTTATTAATCCATTCCTGTATTGATGGGCACTTGGCTTGTTTCCATGTCTTTGAGATTGTAAACTGTGCTGCTAAACATTTGAATTCAAGTGCCTTTTTCATAAAATATTTTTCCCTCTGGGTGGATTCCTCGCTGTGGGATTGCTGGGTCCAGTGGCAGGTCTGCTTCTGGTCCTTGGAGGTTTCTCCACACTGCTTCCCGTGGAGCTTGCACTGGTTTGCTGTCCCACCAATAGTGTTGAAGTGTCCCTTTCTCTCCACATCCACACCAGTCCTGGTGTTTGGGGGACTTGGGGAAGAGCCGTTCTTGCTGGAGGGAGGTGGCTTCTCACTGTGGTTTTCATCTGCATTTCCCTGATGATTAACAATGTTGAGCATCTTTTCATGTGTTTCTTGGCCGTTAGACTATCTTCCTGTGAAAAGTTTCTGTTTGTGTTTGATTTTCTCCTGTTCCTTTCCTTTTTTTTTTTTTTTTTTTTT